TGGTATCCTCATGCAGGTCGCAACGCGTTCCCCTTTCCATATCTACTTTCGATTTTCGATTCACATCACGTGTTTCATTAAAACCAATCACCTCAAAGACGGAGTGTGTTTTAATTATTTATGAGCCGGGGTTTATAATATCCTTCATCAAAAACAACAAGAGACTACCATTTATTAAACTAGGCCTGAAATCAGTATCAATAGTAAAAATTGTTGATTACTCGGCTAATTAAATTCACTTTAACTTACCCAGTTTCCCAGTTTCAATATCCGAGAGCAGAGACTTTCAGCCGCTGTGGAGAGCAGCTTCATTACTTCCTGCTTCTGGTGATGCTCTTCATTCGCCAAAGCGACGGCAAGAATTTCACCGCTGATGACGATAAAAAGAGTTAGCTTACTCCATGGATCATACAGTTCTTGATCACATTTCTCTTCAAACTCACGCATCAGATTCTTGGCATCTTCTTTCGACTCCCCCAACAAAGATCTGACCCTCTCACTAACATCGAATCCGTCTTGAAAGACCTCTCTGGTAATTTTCAACAAATATCCTGCGACCCTTTTCACGGGATCAGGAACAGATTGGTAGCATAATTCCATCCCTTGCCTCTTTCTTGCGTAGAAATCAAGAAGAACTGTCAAATTTCTCTTGACCTCGAATACCGTCAACTTCTCTACAAGATCCAGCCTCTTTACTTCCTCCAAACCTTCCTTTAGAAAAGATACGTCGCTCCAAGAGATCTTTCCCGCGTTTTCTAACGAAGACATAATGCTTAAAGCACCAGGTTTTCTCCTACTAATAAGCTCGTCGAAAAAAAAACGAAGCTCCTCTTGCTCATATTTCTCTAAATTGCGAACAATCTGGAGAAGAACAGCTTTGTAAGCTCGTTGAAGATTTTCGATGGTGGTGTTATTTGTTTGTGAAGACATGGCGGTGTCAACACAAACGGGCGGCGGGTCGGAATGAGAACATTCCGTCCTTTTATACCTCGGAATATTAATTTCTTATAAACAGGGAAATTCCCTGACGTCATCACGGGTTATCAAGTGTAGTGTGTTGGCTCGCCCCGAAGTTGCCCGATATGAAAACGACATATCGTTGTGGCCGAGGTATTCTTCGGGCATGCATTCTACGCCACCTCGTGAGAGAACCATGAGAACGAGGTTGTCAGGCTCACCTTCTTCGTGCGTAGAAGTCTTTCGCCTTGCCGCCCGTCAGACTAGCCTGCGTAGCTGGTATCCTTGTTTGGCGAGCGCGCAAAACGGAGCTAAGTGGGTAGTGAAGCCGCGAGGAGATTGGGGCGGGTACAACGAGAGGCTTTTATTTTTCTCAATCAACCAATCTTTAGTTAAACACGAGACATAAATAAGTGAGCCTTAAAAGAAGGCTCCTTAAAAAAATTTACGTGTATCTATAATAATAATACAGATTTAAAAATGAATAAAATTAACTACTATGTTATTTAAAAACTAGACAAATTAACTAGAGCAGAAATTGCAGCGACATTCGTCCTGGCAACGAAATTCTTAATATCGGAGGCGTTCCTAAACATCAAGGTAGATTGTTCCAGAGTCGGCATGCAATATTAAAGAAAGATTTGTGCTTAAGGTAGTACTAGGGGCCGGCTGATTGAGTCTGCTACTATAACCATGAATATTGTATACACGGTTTTTCATACTTATAGGGGAGCTACGCTCGCGCGCTTCGCGCGCTAGCGTAGCCCCATACCTCAGAAAATGTGGTAATCTACCCATTCGAGAAATTTTGGTAATCATGTGAACGTACGCCCGTCCGCCCGCCCACCCACCGTACGTCAGCACCACAGGCATACCAATGTAAAATCACTCAATCAACAGGTATGGCAACCCAAATGTAACTCGAGGTTATTTTTGCGGGAAGTCGCATAGTCACCCGCGTCTTGTGAAGCAGAGAAAACTAATTAAAGAGTCAATAACGACGAAAACAGAGAGCGGAAATTGTTTCGTATCCTTGTTGTCTAAAGTAGATTAATTAATTAATTGTCATATCCTCATATATGGAATATAGAGAAAGAGAAATTAGGCGACAGGCCAGCGAAACTCAACGAAAAAGTAACAAGAACACATACGACATTCCCTCTATCGTGTAACTAAGAAGTTTCTGGGAGTTTTACGTTGTAGTCGTGCAAAACAACGGCAAAGAAATGTACAAAAAAAGTGTTCTGCACGTGCGAAAGTTGCTTTTCTGCTAATTAGACCTATTGTTGTTTTTTCACTGTCCTCGTTGCCTTCACCGCGTAGCATTACACGATTTTATATTTTGTTTGAGCAAACTATAAATATTATCGAGAGCTTCGCTTTTAGCCCTGGCTAGATCTATATATTATAATTAGGATAGCCTTCGAACACAATTGTGAAAACTTGGACCAGAAACCTATACTTGATCCTTGAGAGTGCCTAAGTTATACTGTGGCAAGATCTCCTCATAACTGATATACTTGGGTAATTTAAAAAGAGTTCTGGGTATATTATGTCGTCCATAATAATTGGCATTTTCTAACTTATCTGATAATGTCTGATTAATTCCAATCAAGAGAGGGCGACAAAAGTTGCCAAATGGGAGCGGCTTTGCCGCTCACTTAGCTCTGTTTGCGTGCGCGCAGCAAAACCGTTAACTACGCTGGCTATTCTTGGTTCGCAACCACATGCCAAAGCGGCCATGTTGGGGGACAATACGATAGAATTTTTTCTCGAAGAATTTACATGAAAGTAGAGTTTAGCTCCCAGACGAGAGCAATGCTTTTGACCATTGTTCTTGACCACTCTTGATGACATGGCTGCCGTGACGTCACGTGCAAACCAGCAATTTTGTTAGAGTGGGAACACATCAATCAAATGATAGCTATTATGAACGAAAACACACAACTCCAAGCCGTAGTTTAGATTTTCTCGCGGCTTTCACAAAAGTTGTCCAAGACTTCCTTTAACTTTGCCTGTAATTGCAATGTTCGGAATCGAAGTCGTCGGGACTGTGATCTTTGTTTATTTTCCCAGGCGTGCAGAGATGCCAACCTTCGGAAATCTAAGATCTGGAGACTCTCTCTTTTGCACTACCCCCCCCGCTTCGGATGTCAACGGACTCCCCCACCCACAAATTGTTCGAGTTCCCACGGACCTCTGTATCAAAACGAGGTTATGTTCTCAGCCTTTGATATAAAAATGATTTTTCATTTTCATACAAATAAAACTCATTTTCACAAGAAAGGCTGTGCACTTGGCGTCATCTTTTTTGACAGGGGAACGGCTTGGGATATTATATGAAGTCTTACATGAGGTACATATCATCAAAAGTCGCTCTGTAAAAATGACGAAATAATCTTGGTCAGTAACTAAATAAGTGCAAAAGTGTCCCAGAAACTGTACACCGAATAAAAAAGGTTCGAATTTTGAGAAAAATGAGCTAAATTTCAAACTATTAAAAGCACAGAAAACCTCAACGGTCCATTTTATTCGGGAGATCTGGTGACTCGAACTTGGCATATATGCAAGTCATGTGTACACCTCTACTAAGAGGACAGCGAGGAAAAGGTGGATATCTGCTCAAGACAGGCCTCTCCGTACTCGCATTCGGGCGCAGAAAATAGAAGGTTATGGAGTTGCATTTCATGAGTACATACAAAGACATCTACGTCGTGATCAACTCCGTAGAGTGTTATCATGTTGTAGGTCTTGTCATCGACTAGTGATTCCAAAAAAAACTTCAGGCAACAGATGCATTACGTGGCTATGATAAAGTGAAGAAAACGTTCTGGTTTCATTCATATTTAGAATACATTGCATTTACAACAGTTAAATTGGATTCAAAGTTCTAAACTAAGTATGTTAAAGGGGTACAATTTGTCAATAGAAGGTACACGAAAGGGGTACCTCTTCTGTCCAAAATGGTATATTTAAGCAACAGACCACACTTTGTATGGGTTTTCCGGCATGATAACCCACTTGGGATGTTGGAAGAACACTCGAAAAGCTTGTAAATCTCGAGCCGAAGGCGAGTTTCGACTCGTGATTTACAAGCTTTTCGAGTGTTCTTCCAACATCCCAAGTGGGTTATCACGCCGGTAAACCCATAGAAAGTGTGGTCTATTGCTTTTATAAAATAACTTTAAAGCATGTTTCAGTTTTCTATGAGTTTACCGGCACAATACACCATAGGTTTTTAACCAATCAGAACGCGCATATTATCTCAGTTAGCTATTTTATAAAAAAAGAATAATGGATTGGACCTTGGGGCGGAGCCTTCCTGTATAAAACTTTGTTGATCGAGTACTTCCTGAAATTGAGAGACTCTCAATTATTCAATGTGGAATCGAAATTGTCTTACTCCCTGCAAAAAATATTTCATACTCTTTTGTTTGTTTTACACTGGAGTTAAGAAATGACTAGGGTCCATCTTGTTGGTCTTAAAAAGTAGCTATGTATAATAAAGTTGAGTAATATGACTTAAGCCCCCAAAATAGAAGCAAATACAACTGTTAATTATAACAAACAACCAACACACTTTATAAAAACGTCACAAACCTTTATTGACTACAGTCAGCTTTGAACTAATCATACTCTAGAAAACCTCTGAGCATATAACTAATGACGATCCTTTTTTTGGATTTTTTTCAGTCTTGTCCTTTTTTGGTGTGCAAATCCAAGCCGCCACACAAATTTGCACTTTTTGTTTATGTCGGGTTTTTCTTTCTCTTGTTAAGTTTTAAACTTTTGTGTTTCTTTTGTGTTTCTTGTATTTTTTTTATCATATTTTTTTTATTGCTAGTCCTTTCTGTCCTACCATTTTCTTCCATTTCCTTTCGATCATGTACACAATAGTAACTCATCCCATTACGAAAATCACACTCTTCACGCAAAGGTTCGAAAATTCTGTTGGATTTCTTCAAAAACGAACCCTACATTTCTTTTTGCAGTCGTAGCATAATAGACATCTTAAGCTTGAATGTTTTGTTTTCCCAATGGAGGTCCCAGGAGAACATGCCCCTGCACGTGAATTAGACAAAATTCAGAGATAGAAACAGTTCTCTAGAGTATTTTCACATGACCTGTATTGGGAAAACAAAACATACAAGCTAAAGAGGTGTACTGAGCCATATTGTTATTCGTAATCTAACCGCTAAGCATCAACAATAGGTGTAAAAAGTTGATGTGCTATCTAACAAACCTTTGAGCAGTTTCTTCCCTTCCGTTCAGCAATATTTTTTCATTTTTTTTTATATTTTCCTCTTATATTGTAGTTTGTGTACAATAGTTGTCCGTCCGTTAACCATAGTCATGTCTCAAGCATAATATTTGAACTTGACAAAAAAAGATATATAGCCGGTGTGTAAAAGGAACCACTTAATTACAAGGAAGGAAACTTGAGACATCTGTACATAATACGTTCTCCTTTAAAAAAAAATCAACTATATCTCTTCCGAGAAAACTGTACATTTTTCCCGCAAGACCAGACATGCAATTTTGACCTTTGGCCAGCGTATTGAAAGAAAGACCGCAGGAAAGGTTAGCTCCTGTAAGTAACAAAGCGTTTTTAACTATACAACTACGTAATTACTGTGGTGAGAAGATCGATGAAAGATGCTGAAGAATTTCCGCTCTTTTTCGTTGCATGGACAAACAAGGATTGGACTCTAATTTCTGTTGACTGTAAAACTGATTATACCTTTCCTCCACTCGATGGCTGAACTCTCTCTGCGAAATAAATGATATGAGGAAACAATCATTAACGTGGCAGTTAAAGTAAGAGAACCTGAAAAGACAGCTTGGAAATCTTAGAACTACTCCATTTGCACACCTATATTCCTCTAGACTGCAAACTATCTCTTTTCAGTAAGAGTTGGCCAACTAGCCGAAGGGCCGTTATCCTTAGCGCGTTTGCTTCGTTCGCTTGACCTTACCATTCCTCATACGCACCGCATGTAACTGATTTTGAAGAATAAACTGCTAACAACATGCAACCGTCTAAAATTCACTCGAGCACGGCTGCACAGAGATCGAGCAATGATAAGTAATTCTACCGCATTGTAAACATTGACTCAGTGAAGATAACCTGATAGCTAACATATGTACCCTGCATTTTGCAATCGGTGCAGGAACTGTTGATATTTTTCAGGGGCACCCAACGACGGTTTCCTCCTACTGAATACATTATAAGCGGCGCTATAGAATTTGTATCTGTTCGGTCATTCTGGGGAACTGGAGTCTCATCGAAATTACAAGATCTTCAGTATTATTTTCCAGAAAATTTAAGGTGCAATTTAACATTTTACGAGAGTAATAATTTTTCTGATTCCTCTCTCCATCACATTTCTGAATCCGAATATTTCAGGTTTTCTTTTATCTACGAAAAATAGCCTCATCTAGGGAGTGAAATGTGAAAAATTAATAGGGAATTTAAAGTAACTTTTTGGCTAAATGTCTCTTTCAACCGTAGAGTAAATTTACGGCAAATTTTGCATTTATATATACACCCAAACAGTCGTTGGGTGTCCCTGATTTTTGTTTGACTACTAGTTAAACTAGACTGAAACTAAGTGCATAAATTGTTTATTATATTTGCCTTCCCCATCTGATTCACTAGTATAATAACAATAGGACACTGAGGAAATGCAAACAACTTCCGCTTTCGCTCTCGTTTGTGTGGTACGACGCCGGAACGAATAGAGCAAAGAGACTACACTGGAGAAAAGTGCAGAAAAGAGAGTTAAGGGCAATTCATAAAGATGATTAACTAAAACGTACCCAATTTCCCTTGAGTTCCATCAATCGTGGACAGAGTTCATCTGCTGCGGTAGAACACAACTCCATGGCAAAATGCGAACGGGTTTCGCTCGCTAAAGCAATGGCTAAGAGTTCTCCAGCGATGACAACAAGCATCATGAATTCATCCCACGAAAATTTTTGCTTTCCACAATACATTTCCTCTTCAAACTCGCCCAGAACATTTCTGATGTCTTTGCTCGATTTTACAGAGGAAATAATGTTGGTGACATCAACTCGATCCCGAACTTTGTCAGTTAGCCTCGTTAAATATCCTGCTACTCTCCTAACATTTTGGGAACAACAACTTAAGTCTTGGCCTTGTCTCTTTCTTGCATAATAATCCAGAAGTATTTTTAGATCTCTTTTGATTTCAAATTCAGTCACCTTTTTTACGATGTCCATCCTTCGAATTTTACACATCAAGTCCTTCAGGTAATTAAAATCTTCCCACGAAAGTAGCCCTTCATGCTCTAAACAACGAAAGATTGATAAAATTTCAGTGTTAGTCTTCGAAATATGTTCAGTACATAAGCGACGAAACCTTTTTGTATGTTCTCTATCCAGATCTTTGGAAATCTGGAGCAAAACATACTGATAAGCTTGTCGAAGTTCGTCTGTCAAAGTCTTGGCGGTGGCGGGTTGCATGGCGTCTGAAAAGAAAGCGAATAGAAGACACCTGACCTTTTATACCCCGAAACTTTGCATACCATGCAACACAATAGACATGAAACGGACATGACATTTCCCAAAACAGCAAAACCTACTTACACGACTGTAGTCATGTAAAAAATGTTCGTTGGGGCCGGATCCCTAAGCTAGATTCACCAACACCCCCTTGCGAGTCTGTGTTGCAACCGCTAGTCTAATTTATTATTATCTTTATCTACTTCCAGCCTCTCAGAAAAATAGCGTGGACTTAACTGTTTCATATCCCAGCCGATAGTATGCACTTGATTGCGAAGACTCATCTCAGCCGAGCATGACACCATTCTTCACCTCTTTCTCCCATTAGATATCAAGAAGAACTAACGTCTTTCTCTTGATCTCACATCGAATTCTGTCCAGGCAGTTCTTTCTATAAATATCCAAACGCCTTTTACTTCACGCAAAGTTTTGCCATGTTTGCCATTTTCGCCGTTGCGTGCATTTCTGGACATAAGTGATTTTGCCATGATCAACAGATTTGTAAGTTCGTCCGTCCGTTCGTCTTGACTGCTTGAAGGAAGGTATTTCGTCCTTTTATACCCAAGAATCTTAACCCCTTACTAAAGGAGGACATCTTTGACATTCGTTTATTAAAAATAATCCAGGGAACCAGTGTTTAGTACATTTTGCCTGAAGGCCAATTAGTAATAATAATCACACGTTAGGGAGGTGCAAGGTGCCGTAACCAGGGGTAATTTTATTCCATTTATATTAAAAAACCAGAAATTCCGTTTGGAAAATAAAATGGATGGCGTCATTCCGTTTGAGAAGCTTCAGAAAAAATTGGCTGTGATAGTAGCCACTTTCCTGCTGAAAGGGGGGTTGTACCAAATGATGTCTCTATGGCGGTTCCCTCTTCCAGATTTCGGAGACTGTGCCGTAGGAACTGAGATTGTTCCCGCTGTCATCGAGAGCTTTCTGGTAAAGAAGCGCCGCTTTGCTAAAGGAATCTTCATCTATAGAGAATTCGGACAGCCATTTGTTAATGGACTTTGAGATGTTTTCGATGATGCAGGGTGGATGGTTAGATTTCTTGTTGACATAGGGTGGAATTTTTGCTGGTTTGTTGTATGGCAAGTACTTTCCGTTAGCCAGGTTAAGTGTGACGTCAAGGAAGTTTACTACTTTCTTATTGGCCTCGATAGTAATCTTCAGACCGTACTAAGTTAAGTTAAGTTAAGTTGTTTAGACAGCCAAAATTTGTGCTTTTCATGTGTCAATATTCTGTAGGTAACAGGATGCTGTTTCAATACTATTCAGCTGACTGTTACCTGCAGGTAATAATGTATATGTTCTAGAATCCTTTTTTTTGGCGTTGTTTTGTTTTGTTTTGTTTTGTTTTGTTTCGTTTTTCTCTCAAGGAGAGTAATTTAATTAATTAATTTTGATTAATTAAAAGTGTTAACAATTGATTGGTAATAAGATTGCTTTAGGTCATTCTTTTGCCGGATTGGCTAATAAAGTGGCCTGAAATAAGCCAATCACAAAGCGTTGTAAAACATCTCTTGATTCGTTAATTCACCATATACCGGCAATATTACAACCGCTGAAAGGATCATTTCTATCAAATGGAAACCATAATGCTTTTAGGAGCAGGCACAGCCGTCACATTTCCAAAAAGCGGAAATTGGTACAACTGTTAATATTATAACGAAACAACCAATACACTTTATGCAAACGTCCCAGCCTTTATCTTTTAAGTTAATACTCCTTGTAACATCTGAGTATGTAACTAGACGTAATGACAATTCTTTATTGTTATTATTTTTTTCTGTCCTCTTCCCTTTTTCGTGCAAATCCTACCCGCCACTCAGATTTGCAGTTATTTTGTTTATTGCATTCTGTTTCTCTTAATATGTTTTCAGGTTTTGTGTTTCTTTTGTGTTTCTCGTATTTTTTTTAATCATTATTGTTGCTTTTGCTGTGTCTTTAATTTGTTGTTGTTGTTTTTTCTGTCCTATCTTTCGCGTAAACTTTCTTTGGATCACGGCAACAATAATAATGACTCATCTCATGTTAAGAAAGTGATAACACTTACACAATCTCAGAATTTCTTTTTTTCGTATATTTCGTAATTTCCTCATGATGTTTAGGTCCTTACTTTTCGTCGTAACTTCATGAGCCATTTTCATATTGTTCACCTGACCCAAACGTAATCTAACCGCGCGGCAAGCATCAACACTGGGTTAAAAAAAAATGATGTTCTAAATAACAAACCTCTGTTCACTTTCTTCCCTACGATTCCGCAACATTTGTTTTTCGCTTTTTTTTGTTCATTTTTCTTTTCTACGAGAAAAAGGTAGTCTCCCTCAAGTGCTGGACTCCGCTTTTTCTTTTTTGACAATCAGGTCAGTGGCGTCCGCATCCGACGTTGAGCTAGCCTGAGAGTGATTGTAAACAAGATGGTATTGCTTCTGCACTTAGTCGCATGACTCTTCCTGAAAAATTATATTAAAGAACCAATTTTTAACTGAAAACACAAACCTTGGTTGCAACATAATATTTAAACCGAACGTTTACCTGGAAAAATTAACTAAATTGATACAAGCGCTTGTTGACTGGGCTTTCTACTGGACTCATTCCCTGTGCAGCCCGTTATTGCTTACATACGTCACGCAAGCCTTCGTGACCTTTTGGTACACTGCACGCTACACAGCAACACACCTCACACGCAACAACCTGCCGGAGTTTACAAATGCAACCATCCACGCTGTCTCACCTGTCCTTTTCTCCAGGAAGTCCTAGCAAATTACATTTTACCGCAACTATTGAACAAAGAAAAATCATTGACTACTTATCCTGCAAATCCAAAAATCTTATCTACTTAATTTAATGCAACAAATGTAAATGTCAGTGCATCGGAGAGACCATTAACGTCAACTAAATGAACGATTTGGAGAACGCCGCCGATCCATCTCGAACCACCAGCAACTCAGTGATCCCACTCGTGTCTCCTTACATTTTAATCAAGCTGGACATTCCGATCAACGACGTCATTCTAATCCCACTTGAACTCATACGCAGCAACAGCGATGCAGTGAGAAAGGCTCGAGAAGCTCATTTATACACAAAAAATAAAAACACTACAAAAAATAGCTACACCTGTTTCAGTTTATTTTAAGTAAAATTGAATATCATTTTTCACTCACCCAACTTCCCTTAGGTAGCTTTGTAATCCGAGAGCAGAGATCTTCAGCCAATGTGTAAAGCAGCTTCATAACTTCCTGCTTCTGGTGATGCTCTTCATTCGCCAAAGCCACGGCAAAAATTTCACCGCTGATGACGATAAGAAGAGTTAGCTTACTCCATGGATCAGACAGTTCTTGGTCGCAGTTATCTTTAAACACTAGCATGAGATTCTTGATATCTTCTCTCGACTCCCCCAACAAAGATCTGACCCTCTCACTGACATCGAATCCGTCTTGAAAAACCTCTCTAGTAATCACTGAACAAATATCCAGCGACCTTCTCCACTGAATCAAGAGGAGAACTACAGCTTGATTCGCTGATTCCTTGCTTCTTTCTTGCATAGAAATCAAGAAGAACTGTCAAATTTCTCATGACCTCGAATTCTGTCAACTTGTCTGCAAGATCCGATGTCTTTACTTCCAGTAGACCTTCCTTTAGAAAAGATACGTCGCGCCAAGAGATCTTTCCCGCGTATTCTAAGGAAGACATGATGATTAAAGCACCAGGTTCTCTCCTAATAAGCTCTCTGAAAATAAAACGAAGCTCCTCTTGCTGATCTTTCTCTAAATTGCGGGCAATCTGGAGAAGAACAGTTTTGTAAGCTCGTTGAAGATTTTCGATGATGGTGTTATTTGTTTGTGAAGACATGGCGGTGTCAACACAAACAGGCGGCGAATCGGAATGAGAACATTCCGTCCTTTTATACTTTGGAGTATTCATTAATATAACACAGGGAAACTCCCTGACGTCATTTTTGTTTTTTGTTATTCTCTTAAATAGTTCAAGCTCATAGTTGCATCATTGTTAATCAGGGCAAGGTGGAGGGAAATTAGAAGATTTGTATTAGAATTCAAAGCCAGCTAATTCTTTCTAAACTCATATATTTGATGCTTACTCTTTGAAAAGAGTAACTTACGAGTTCAAAGAAACAATACACTAAATCTGGAGTGCACTAGACTACGAGTAGTCCCCCATTTTTCCTCAGGGATAGTAGAGCGTGCAAAACGCGAGCGCGCGTGAAAATCACCCCACGCGAGAAAAGGCGACGCGCGGCGGGGTCGCCTATTCTCGCATGGGGTGTTTTTAAAATGTAAAAATTGAAAAATTTGTGGATGGCAATCTTTCGCATTTCCGGTGTCTGGCATGTTGGGCAGTGGAATTTAATTACAGGTTGGAAACAATAGAAATGACCATTTCAGGTACTTTTTAGGTGTCCGCGTTCGCTTAATAGAGGTGTCCGCTTGATAAAGGTTTCATTTAAAGTAAATAAGGGAATAACATTTGGGGACTTCGGCTACTGTCCGCTTAATACAGGTTTCACTGTACTGCAATGCTGATCGTACTAAGTGAAAATTAACTCTGCAAGACATCAACACGACACCGAAAGAACCCAAAACAGAGCGGGATTGTAGCCATAGACAGCTGTTTCGTCCCCTTTAGGGCTCGTCAGTATGGCGTAACAACCAGAGATCAGGCTCTGATGAAAAAATATCCGTGCACTCTGACTTTTTCTGGGTGGGGATGTGCCGCTGGGACCCTGGAACCCTTAACCTATACCAGAGCTAGTTCGGCTGAATTTTGCCACCCTATACTAGAGTAAACTACCCAAATCCCACCTATCCTAGAGTAGCTGTTTTCCAGAAACTACTGAGGTCACTAGCACAGTCTAGCCAAAACAAAACCTTATACCACACTCCCTGGTCTAAAAATCTTCAACCAACCGATCAGTTTCCTGAAAAATGATACCCTTTTCTATACCCAAACGCTCTGATTTATATGCCCTATCCTAGAGTAAACTGAAAACTATACCCTTCACAGCGGCACATACCTATATAGCCCATATATGGCAGTACCCCCCACCCAGGGGGGGGCTGCAAGTAGAGTGCGCGGATAGTTAAGGGCAAAGCTACCCGTATAAACACGTCCGTGACACATACGTAACGTTAAGTTTCCACTGACGCGTTTTTGGCTCCGCACGTTAACGCACGTAAATTTTAATCACGTAAATAAAATAGAGGTATTAAGATATAAAGTGTTGAGATTAAACGTCAAGTTTAGGGAGTTTCTACTTTTACGCTTACATAATTGTACGTGCGGCCTTTCATACATTGCCTCTATTTTATTTGCGAACGCAAATTGCCCGCACGTACGCACCTAAAAATTACGTGACAGTGGATACTTGATATCTCAAGTATTTATGATTCACATCTTAACAGCTACGAAAATCTGTAAGTATTTAACAGTAGATTTCCACTAATTGCGACAATATTCTGAGAAACGTAACGCCTTAAAACACCACAAAATAGGATTTTCCCGCTATAATATTTTCTCATCCTACTTGGGGATATTTCCTATTTGATTAGTGCCTGCATGTCGTGCATAATTACACGAAAATCAAGGGCCTCCATTCGAGGAAAATTACATCATTGCCAAACTTAGATGCGTCATTTCAGTTATCACGCGACTCATTTGCACTATGAAAATCGCCACAATTCTTATCCCCAGTTTCCACGGTCTTCGCTAAGACGCGTGGCCTACAAACTAGGTCCCAACGACAAAAAAAAAATAGAAACGACTGCATTTTTAGAGTCTCGCTCTGCTAAAGCAAGCTCGACTAAAAATATCCGCGCACTCTGATTTTAGCCCTGACCTAGAACTCCTAACACCCACAGAATCACGCCATACCACGTGTCTTCTGGGGGGCAAGAGTCCAAGTGTCAAGTTGATGTCTCGCAGAGAAAATAAAGAATTGGCCAAAACCAACCTAAAAAACATGGACAAAACCATGCAAAAATTACAGCATATCAGATCTTTAAAAGACCTACGGCCCAAAAATTCATCAGGTACAAACATTAACCACAAGGGAGTGCAAAGGACCACAAACGAATATGCCAAAGAACGCAGGATCTGTAAAGACCTGATATGTATTTATATGTATGAGGTGTCTTATTAAAATAACATGACCCGATCACGTGGTCTTTCAAGTTCCCGGATACAATGAAGAAAAGAAAGTGAAGTGGAGTTGTGGCATGGCGGCAAGCGGTGGGCTATCTAAGCCATCTGGCTTTCCAAGCTTACAGCAAGTCGTGTTTAAACGTTTTATCTTAAAATTCGTTCAGTCCTTGTGTAAGGATGATCGTACAGCATTTAGATATTGGTGCAAAGGATTAATTCCAGTGAGAGATTTGGATAGAAAGGTCGATGATGATGATGATATTTTTAAGTTGATTGAGTTGTTACAGGATCATAATCAGTTGTTGCTTGATGATATGGTCGTACTGAAAACATTTCTGTCGGGTGCTCAGCGGTGTGATTTGCTGATTGAGTTAGAAAAGGCAGAATTAAGTATCGTGGTTGGTAAAATCTTGGAGCATTATAAGGTTTTTTGTTGTCAACGTAGTGATGGTGGTGATTTTTATGCGGAAGTTGTGGGGTTACTGGTTTCGAGGGTTCCTCGAAGGTTTGAACACGTACGACGAATTTGCAGTGACAAACGTGTATTACTTTACCTAGATGGCGTGATTCGTGAGTATCTTCTGAGTTCTGGGTGTACCTGGCCGAAAGTAACTGCTGTTCTGGTGATTTTGGCCGAGCTTTCAGTGGAGGTAGATGACGTACAAACATGCATTGACTTGCTAGCAGAGAGTATGCAGACACTTGGTGGAATGGTAAGAGTTTATAATAGCAGTTACCTTTAGATTGTAAGGCGATAACGAATATGAGTACGAGGTTTTCTCAATATTTTTCTACTACAGTAAGCTTATGTGTATGGCGTACGATCCCCGCCTAAATTCATGGTTTGAATTTTAAATTGCTCATTTAAATTTTCAACTTCAAAACTTGATTTTACAGCTAAATTCAACATGTTACACTCTTCCTTTAGAATTCACATCATTGGAATTTACACTTGTCTTTTAGCTTTTGAACTCAACTTTTTTCATTTGACCTTGTTCGCTGTATATTGTACAAACAAATTTTTATACACTGCTACTTTTTATTAGGTTTAATGCCTGAACCAGTACCATACAATTGACTGACATGCTAATTTTGCATTCGATGCTCACTCACCCAGGGCTCGAAATTGCGACTCACTGGTCGCCAATGCGACCAAAAATTGAGCACTGGCGACTAAATTTTCAGAACTGGTCGCCAGCTGGCGACTCGCGTTTTGTCCGATGACTAAAGAAAACCACGACACAACTTTTGTTTTTAAATCTTTATATTTGGAAATCAATCGGATATGGTAGCTAGTATACAACTCACCTTTCCGTCCCCAGTAAAATAATGTCTGAATATTACAAGATAATCGACACGTCGATACTGCGTTCAGGGCGCGCCATATTGTTTCAGCGGCTTCTTCCGAAACTGGGATCGCAGGCGCACTTCAACAACAAAAATGGTGGCAGATACGGTGTCTCCGTAACTCCCGCAACATTTTAGGTTTTATTTTCCTAAAACGTTCTGTCTAAAAGGAAACGAAGACCCAAAAACTGCACTAAGCCCATTTTTGTTTCCTCCCGGTCGGAGACTGGTACGAGCAATGTGGTTGCGTAGAGGCCTGGGCCAAGCATGGCGTTGTTTGTCGGCAGCGAAAGGCGTTGAGGAAAGCAAGTCGAAAATAAAGAACGGCATTTCGTAGAAGTAGCAAAGGGCAAATACACAAGGACCCGTGTTTGTCTCAGAATGAAAACCACGGACTTAAAACGTTTTATGCTTCGCTTCATTTAAAATGACTATGGAGACAACCATCACCTTCGGACCAGAGACATATCACCTGAGAACAACGGTAGCTTTATAACTAAGTGTTACTCGTGTTGTTTCTAATTGTTTTCGCTCTTCAGTTGTGACTTTTCTTGCATGCAAAGTAACGTATAAAATCGTGTTCTTGTGTAAGTTATATATAAAATAAGTTGGCGACCAAAATTTACGATCTGGCGACCAAAATTTTTCCGTTAGTCGCCAGCTGGCTCCCGAACAAAAAAGTTAATTTCGAGCCCTGTCACCGCATTTCGCCAGTCACCGCGTCAAATTTCAAACTCAACATCGTATATTTTCAACTCAACTTTTGAATTTTTTTTTACGCTTCAGTGATCATTGGTCGAGACGAAAGAATCCTTTGTGGGGTGGGAGGTGGCAACCTTTGCGCCTCCTCCCTCCAAGTTTCTTGTCTCAGAGATTTAGTTTCTGCTCAACAAATGTTGTCAAAGTGCAAGTATCTTCAATTTTTAAGGAAAAAAAATTCATAATCACGAGCAGGATTCGATCCTGGAGTGCCAGGTCTGCAGTCTCCTACAGTAACCACTAGCCCACCAAGGATTCGTTAAAGTACATTGGTTTCCTTTAAGGTGGCTCCCTAGACTATTTACTTATAACCCTAGCTATCTAGCATAAGCTACAGAAGGAAATCTAGTTACTTTCTCTTTGCTATTTTGTTTGCGAGAATCACCACCAAGGTTACCCATATAAGAAGGCTTCTGGATTAAGGCCATTGCCATGGCAACATGGCATGCCTAGACAGGCAGTAATTTTGTCATTTTTGATCACTTTTTCTTCATATTTCTTATTTCCCTAGGTGAAATGTCTTTAAACTTTGCCACTTTATATTAACGATACTGCTTAACATTTTAAAGTGGAAAAAAACATGTGGTCGTTAAGATGATTTTGCCAAGATTTTGAAATTTGTAATTGTTCTTAATAGAGGAATTTAGCTCTTACAGATTTTAACAAAAAAAGGACAGTACAAAGGTGCTGTAACTGTTAAGAAATGAGGTGATTTTTAAAAAAATTTACCAAAGGAAACACAAGAATTTCATGGTTAATTAACTGCGCTGACGTCACAAAAATCCTAAAAACACGCGTTGTTTAGGGTCGTATGAGCAAAATACGCATGCGAGCCGTCATGCCCCCATGCGCTTAAAGCACATAGCTACTGAAAACATGTGGTTTCTTCAAAAAGTTTGAAAGCCATTGATAAAGCCGTTCATTAGTGTTGTTACGGTGATATCTCACCAGTTGAAAAAGAAAAGATGGTGGATTCAATTTTACACCTAATGTTCAATGGATGTTTTTTCGAAGTACTTGACTATTGTAGCTAAAATTCGAGCCGTGGTGGTCAATCGTGTGGATGGCAATCATCGGAGATGAAGACGGTGGTTGTGCAGGATTTGCAATAAGCCCTTCATTTCTTAATCTGCTGTACACTGTTTGCAGATCTTCAAATGTCAGCCCACTTCCGGATACTTTTTCAACCTTGTTCTTCTTTGGGGAAAATTTCAACGGTGAGGTTTTTCTTTAAAAGTCTGCTGTAAAAAAGGCGCAGATATAAAAAACATACATTACGTCCTCAGCTGCACGTACAAGACCATAGTTCTCGACGGACAACTATTGCTTTCGTCAAGGGTCAATCTGTGACTCAAAAGTTACTTTTCGTTGTGCAAAAAATTTTTTTAGTACATCTTGCATGTGCATTGAAGAACTTTTGAAACACGTTGGTTCATCGATGAAAAGGTTCCTTCGATCAGGATGCAAGTTAAGCAGGAAACCTTTTTTCTGATAAGTTTTTTAAACAATGTGATAGAGTCGGCAAAACCAAAAAAAATTTACACGGCCTGTAATCTTGCCTTAAAGCCACTTCTAGAATTTCTTAAATCAAATCAAATGTAAGAGAAATAAATTGACCGAGGAGCTCTTCCGGTGAAGACAATCTTCAGTGTTTCTTCGGGACTTGGTTCGATCTTTCACTGACCGTGAACTAAAGGCTAGAAACAGCAACATTGCTTCCTTCAGGATTAGTATACTTACTCCTTTGCTTTGTTTTGTAAGGTTTCCATTCACCATTTTACTTCGACTATTTTACGTTTTTCTACTTTTGAAGGGAAAGAATTGATGTCTTTTGAAAATTTTTGCTTCGTTTTTACATACAATTTACTCTTATGGAGATCGATAGTGACTTGTAACCAATGTAACATTGTCTCCTCTCATAAATGTTTGAACTACACTAACCAAACGTTTTGTACAATGAGCTTCAACAAAAAGTTAATAAAGTTTTTTTTAGGGTCCCGAATATTTCGAAACTGAGAGGCCATGTTTGTTTTATTTTTGCGTGGATGTCATGTGGATTTTAAAGCTTGCGTCATACTAGTGCTCAGGTTGCGCACAACCAATTTACTCTAGGGAGCCACCTTAAGTAGTATAGCGAAAACCCTAACCCTAAGTAGAAGCTGACCATTAACCCTAATCACTATATATATTCTATGTGCTTAACCGTAATCAGTATTGTTAGTGCTTAACCCTAATCACTATAGTCAGGGCTCACTCATATACAGCTATTTAGAGAAAAGTTGTCGGAAAAAAATGTGCACGCGACAATCCCAAATGGCAATATGGGATATGACCAATACACTGTTCCTGACGACAGTAGCTGTCGAACCTACTTTTGTTGCTTTCCTTTAGCACTCGCAAATATATGCCCATGGTCTCTCGTGCTATTCTTTCAAATTTCTTTGAAGAACAGTGAACTCAAAACCACCCACAATACCTATCGGGATTGTCGCGTGCACTTTTTCCGACAACCTTTCTCGAAATAGCTGTATATGACATTACTTTGTGTAGGCATCACAAGGTATCTAAGGGTGGTTTGAGATATGGAAACAAGCGTATACCCATTAACGTTAGGCACGATTACCAGCTGCTGTTCAGTAAATTAGCCCACACCCCTCCCCCAGACAGACGGCTGGATGCATGAGTTTGCTATCGTCAATTACCACCAATAAGATAATCAAGTAGGCAACATAAATTTAATTTCAAACGGTGGATGCAAAGGTGTTGTTTGATTTCGTGTGCGATCATGTTTTAGAGGCTGCATTTTAAGCTTAAAAACCTAAAGTGTTTACAAAGAAAAGTATTAGCTTAGAGAAGCTGGAAAATGGTAGGTATGCTTTTGAAATTCAACCAACTGGAACTGGATCAATAATTATTTTCCAGTCTGCGACAATGGTTGTTGACAGCTAACGTGAAGGAGATGTTAACTTACGGCATTTGAGTTCGTTTTGTTTTGGATTAGTGGCCACATAGCAGTTCCCACACGGAGGCTAGGCTTCATTTAGTGGGCATTATGTTTCAGTGCTGCACTTATCAATTACAAAAATTGATAGGCACTCTAACTGTTATTTTTAATGTCTTGCTTTGTTTTGTTTTTTTCAAACTAGAAAGCCTTCAAATTATTTGTTAACGATAAACTACATGTAAATCTGGACAGTGATGACTATGCGTTTTCATCCATGATGAAGGAATGTTTAGAGAACATTGGACGTGAAGTAGACAAGTAGATTATTGTCTATCGTTAATATGGTTATTACACTGGGATAACATTATATTTACATTTATATTATTATAACCAGGACCCCTCTCATAGACTGCCACCTTGCTGTGGTGGAGGGGCTTGTGTGTCTCTGTGATCCTGCGAACTCAGCCGGCAGAGGCTTAGCCTCTGGCAGGTGCAACCAAGCCGGAAAGATCAATGGGGAGAGACCAGACAAAGGGCAGCCAAAAACAATAAAACAAAAAAAAAAATTTGTTGGCAGAGAGACAAGGTATCTGTTTAGTCTGTAAAATGTATAACTCAATTCAAAATTGAAAGATTTCAATGATCATGATGATGTAGATTATTATAAATATGTTATTTGCAAGCTTATTATGATACTGTTAATTGTAAAATTGATAATTGTACTGAATCTTGTAAAATTATTTTATAAAGAATCACTTCCTTTATACTGATGAACCTATTAAGTGAAAATTCAATGAAAATAATGTTGTAAGTAATATATTATTAAAGTCGAATTTTGAGAAATATTGTGAAAGTAGAAAAAATATTACAATATTGCAGGGCTGTCAATGAAAGCCGGTAGCCGGCCAAACCCACTAGCTACAGTAGCAAGGTATCCTTAGGCGGCTAAGTGGCTTAGCATCTTCTTCTACCACAACTGCTAACAAAAAATTAAGCACCATCGGATAAAATTGTAAAGCAACTGTTTCTCAGTTTTGAATGACATTGAATACATGTTTTTATAAAAACAGGTTTAGATCTGTGAAACGTTCAAACTATGCAATGTCGTGGAATGCGTGGAACATCTCGACGACATTGTTTCCAGTCTCTTGTGCGTATTCTGACAAAACAACATGGCGTCCCCGGTGGAAAATACCTCTTGAAACCCCTGGAAATGCCATTTCCGAGGCTCTAATTTTCAAAACGTCCCTAGATGCCTCAGTCCTCAAGAACTTGTGCCTTTGGCGCAAGTTCCAAAGCTGCCTAGTATTCATTATCAACCTGCTACTTAAAAACTTTTTGACAGCCCTGGATATTGTCATCTTACTATGTGTGGTGTTTAATTTATTTTGGTGCAACTGTATGGACCAATTCAAATACACTGATTGTATATTAGTGCTGGGGAAAATTCTTTAAGTCCTCTGCTGAAAAAGAAATGCAAATGTCAATAACATAGGATGGTGATCAGTGAGGCCATGTGGAAATTGTAGATCCACAAAGATCTTACCTTATCCATACACAATAATAAATTATTTTGTTCTACTGCCTTGTGGACTTTAATGCTTGCTACAGTCAAACATCTCCTTATAGACACCACCATAATGTAGACAGCTTTCATTACGGACGCTTCATGCAAATCTCCCCTTTGTAATACATGTATGGACACCTCTATTATGTGGACACCTGTTTAATTTACTTACCAGGAGCCTGATTTATTTATTTATTTGGTTTTTACATCCATTACTTACAACGTAGTACTTTATTTCTTAAATTCAAAGGCAATCAAAGCGGAGATTAAAGTAATTAAAAAAACTTCAAATAAGGTAGCTTAAGAGGAGAAAATTATTATTATTATTATTATTATTATTATTATTATTATTATTATTATTATTACTAGGAGTAATCGGAGCTTAGGAGAGTGCGTTCGATATGTTTGTTGAGGCGGAAGGGTGGTTGCGATGTAGATAAACATGATTATGGCATATTTTGAACGTAAGGGTTGCGTACAGTGCATGAAACCTCTATTTAAACTGTGTATCATTTTAAGAACGTTTTCAAAAGATATCGTATGGTTCAGTGTCAAGTGCTTTTAATCGGAGGAGACATTGGCCAGCGTCGGACCTGTAAATGGAACTTTCTTTTTTACTGGCGCGAGTTACAGGGCGAAGTTTCTCAAAGGCCGATTAGTTCTTAAGCCGGGATTCTTTTTCTTTCTTCAAAAACATTTCTTCGGATAATTTTCTCTGTTATTTTTAACAGCATCCAATCATCAACTTGTTGACGAAATGAATTACATTGAATTTACTGGTTTAAAAGCTTTCACATCTAAATTCAAACTTCGCACTAACCCTATCAAAGCCTTCAATGAAACGTGTGTGCGGCTCACGTCAATAACTGTTCCAGTAATTTGGTCGAGCGTGTTGATTTCAGTGACTCGAGAGTGGCGCTACTGTGGGCTGATTTATAAGTTTTTCCTAATAAATAACATAGAGTTAAAGTGTTCGTTTGTCCGGTGCCGAAAATATCACAAGTCATGGTCAAATGGCGCCGCCGAGCTTCACATCTTGGTATAGATTTACTTTGTGGCACAACGGCCGCCGAACTAAACCCGGTTTGATGCATGCACCAGTAGTCGCAGACATTTTCCAAAGACAGTGACGAACCATGCTGAAAATATGAAGGCTTAATCCAAAGTAAAATTTAACAGCAAACTCCAGAAAGATGAACGCTTTGGACAATTCAGCAAACACAGATCGATGTACGCTTTACGAAGATTCAGCAAACTTTTTAAAAGGTGAACGCTTTACGAAGAATATCAGACCTTAGCAAACCTTCGAAAGATGAACGCCGAGGACACAAGAATCACCACATGAGTTAGCGCGTGAGGCAAAACTTAAGCAAGTGCCTCAAAGCGAGGCAAATGTGTGTCGACGACGAACGAAAATGCAATCTCAAAAAAACCTCCCTTATTAATTGCACAGGTCACCCAATAATGCACAGAACACCCAACACAAATTAGGGGTTGCGTTCTCGTACCTCGAACGCAAAAAAAGAGGGATATTACGTCAGGTAGTGAAGTGAAATTTATTTGTCTTTTGGAACCTGTTCCTCTTTGATATCTTTAAAAAGTGGGGGTGGGGGGAGAAAAGTCATCTTTAAGTTGTATTTTTGTCCATTTGGTGTCTGTGTCAAGGAGGTTTGACAATCAATTTCAATAGTGAACAACACTTAGTGCAGCATTTCAGAACATCAAAGATCATAAACATTTTCTGGGGTAGCATGCTCCTAGACCCCCCTAGCGGCTTGCACCCTCTGTGCTTGGTGATTCGTTGGTACTTGAAAACATCTCGATTTTACATACTCAAAAGGTTGAACAGTCTAGATTTGTTCTATGTAATGTTTTGCAGTAGTGGCCTATTTTTTAAAGACAATACTTAATGTAATCATTTTACTGCCCATTTGGAAATTGTCAAGAATATTGCCTGTGTCATGAAAAATCACTACAAAGATCAGGACACTCCCACAGACTCGTAAAAATATGTTTGTGAGTTTACCTCAGTGAGTGCTTACAATGTAGTATTATCCTGCTGCGTATAATTTTTTTTTTCAACACATTACTTGCCAGAAATATTTCTGGCATTCGCATTCTATCAGGAGAAGTATCATTTCCCTTTGGATTCCTCTCCTTCACCCCCCTGCCCCACCCAAAATAAAATAAACAAAATAATAATTTAAAGAAGATACTAAAAATACCCCAAAAGAATAAAGACTTTCAACACTTTTCCTTAGCCCTCATATTACAAGGTACCACCACAGGCAGCCCAGGCTTGGAATTTGGAATTTGAATTTAATAAGAGAATGTATAAGAACTTACAAAATACATCCTATATTCCGCTTTTTGAAAAGTACAACTCGAAATTCAAAACTTGCCAAACGGGCTTTGAAATGGCCCTAGAATCCAACTGACTGCATGTAACACACACAACACAAACAAAAGGTGAGTGATTTTAATTTCGAATCTTTTCAAAAAGCAGGATTTAGGACGCATTTTCTTTGTTCTATACATTTTCTTATAAAATTCAAATTCCAACAAACTCCTATAGAGCCTGAGTGGCCTGTGGGGCCACAGATCAGTCAGAATTCCTCACTTGACATTGGTAAAGGCAGTGAGACAAAGGGAAATACAACATAATCAAAGAGAACCAACTAAATACCCAGAAGCATTTACTCCCCTTTACGTCCTTTAAATCCACTTCTGGCAATCCACGGGCCTAAAACAATTTATTAAAATGGCTCCAGGAATGCATAATCCGGAGCATGCAACTCCCATACTTAGGCCTATAAAATTATGCAATTGGTGTTGTCACAGATCAGTTTAAATTTAGCATCAAATTTGAAGAATTGTTTCCGTGAAAATAGAAGCACTATATATGTGTGTGCATCCATATAGTAATCACAAAAAGAAAGTAAAATTGTGCCTACAAACATCACAGATACTATTTTCTTGTCTCTGATTTTTGCTAAATTTGCAGGAAATTGATCTAAAAATAAATCACACTGATAAATTGGTCCGTGAAAATGCCAGTACATGTGGGGACCAGGGAGTTGTTCACTCCAGGTTAATTTGGGCTCCTGACGGCTCCCCATCTACGTTGAACGTCAGTGTGATTTATTTTTAGATCACTTGAAATCTTGGGCCTGGGTTAGTTCACAGCTGGAGCCACAGAGCACTACTGTACTACACTTGTTCTAACAATATGATTTGGGTATTGGTATCATGTTTTATTTAAGTACATGAAAATGAGTCAGTTGTCTTTAAAAATGAACCTAATTTTGTTTAGAACTGCATTTCAAGAACTCGATTATGAAAATTCTTTTTTAAAAATTAATATAAAAACAAGCATGAGATTCTTGATATCCTCTCTCGACTCCCCCAACAAAGATCTGACCCTCTCACTAACATCGAATCCGTCTTGAAATACCTCTCTAGTAATCATCCACAGATACCCTGCGAGCTTTTCCACTGAATCAAGAGTAGAACCACAGCTTGATTCGCTGATTCCTTGCTTCTTTCTTGCATAGAAATCAAGAAGAACTGTCAAATTTCTCATGACCTCGAATTCTGTCAACTTCTCTGCAAGATCCGATCTCTTTACTTCGAGTAGACCTTCCTTTAGAAAAGATACGTCGCTCCAAGAGATCTTTCCCGCGTATTCTAAGGAAGACATGATGATTAAAGCACCAGATTCTCTCCTAATAAAATCTCCGAAAATAAAACGAAGCTCCTCTTGCTGATCTTTCTCCAAACTGTGAACAATCTGGAGAAGAACAGTTCTGCAAGCTCGTTGGAGATATTCGATGATGGTGTTATTTGTTTGTGATGACATGGCGGTGTCAACACAAACGGGCGGCGAGTCCGGAATGAGAACATTCCGTCCTTTTATACCTTGGAATATTAATTAAAATAACACAGGGAAATTCCCTGACGTCATGTTTGTTTTTTGTTATTTTCTTAAATAACTGGTGCAACCATTGTGTATTATTTAAGACTCGTTGCTTCGACAGTCGCCTAAACCAATAGCCTGAGATGCCTCAGGGCCTTTAGCTGCTGACCCCAGCTATAACCTATTTTATTTTGCAGTCTTTAGAAAAGACTGGAAATTTCTCGTTTGGTTGCCGTTTCGAGACAATTGGGCATGATTGCAAACATTCCAGACGCATAGTTAATCGATAAACCGATAATCGATAATAATCGATCGTAATCGAAATCAATCATCAAAGACTGTATGAAGCCGCGCGAATTCACTTTTTAAGTGACGTTTCCCTAGCCGTCGCCGTCGTTGTTGCTTAGCTCACTATTAGAGAGATTAAGCATCATGTTTACCTGCAACGGCAAACGTGAGATTTTTAAGTTGAGATATGAGCAAATAAAAACAGCTGAAAACAATTTGAATTGAAATTTGCCCGGGGAGCCTGTACTCAACAAAAGTTTATTCGGGGAGGCTCCACCCCGAGGTCCAACCCCTTACCCAATTTTTATACCATTTTCCACGAAAAAAGTGCTGTACCCCTTTCGCACCCCTCCAGGTTTGAAATAATAGGGACTTTAAGATCCAACGACGCAGACGACAATGATAACGTCAAAAAAACAATAGGTTTAATAAGCAAAACAACAACTTCGCCCGTGCATCACACTTTTTTGAGTAAATATCTTTCCCTCTTTTTTGCACGACTACGACATGACAATGCCCAATTTCGTGTTTT